CGCGCGCGCCGGGCGCGAAGCGCGGCGGCGGCGCGGCGGCATCGTCCAATGCGTCCGCGGCGCCGGGCAGGCGCGCGACCGCGATGGCGCCAGACTCCGCCACCACCCCCAGATCGCGGTCTGACCACCAGCCCGCCGCCGCGACCCCGGGGGAGAAAGGCACGGGGCCGCGGCCGCCGGCGGGGGCGGTGGGCGCGGGCTCGCCGGCAAAGGCCGCGCGGGCGTCAAGCGGGCGACAGTCGGGCAGCGATGCGACGAAGCACCTGGTTGAGAATGGTGACCGGGGTCAGGGGTGTGGCACGGGGTGAGACCCGCCGCTTTCATGTGTCTTGCCCGCTCGCAACAGGTGACGGCAGGCAGGATGCAAGCGGCTGCGGGCGGCCCCTGGCCCTGCCGACACGGTACACTTGCGGGCATTCAAAAAAGGGCTGCATGGGCCACCAGAAGCGCCCTGCTACACCCTTCCCCCCCGCCAGGTCAGCACCCGAACCTCCAGCACCCTCACCCGCCCTCGTGCGTCACGAGAGCCGCGTGCTCTCCAGACGGGCTCAGCGCCGCCCGCCACGGCCGCGGGGCCAGGGAGCACGCCCCCAGCGCCGCCCCCGCGAGCCCCGCCGTCCACCCGGGGCCCCGCGAGGGCCGCCCCCAGCTGCCGCGAAGCTTCGCCTCGCGGCCCCCAAGCCGCCACGCCGACAGCGTTGCCCCCGCCGCCTCCAGGACGCCCCCGGCGCCGCCCCCGCCTGCGGGCGGGGCCGGGGCGTCGCCGCCGCTGGCGCTGGTGCTGGCTGCTGCGCCGCCGTCGCCGGCAATGAGGAGGGTGGAGGTGGTCTCATCATACACAAGGCAGCGGACGGTCCCGTGGTGCCGCTGCAGGATGGGGGTCAGCGTCGAAAGTAGTTGCATGGGTTGGGATGTGGTGCGGGAGCTCCGCAGAAAGGGAAGGGGGGGTCAAGGGGTCCAGCAGGTCGGCCGGGGTGTGTGTGCAGGGGGTTGAGAGTGGGCCCGGCATGCACATGGTCAAGCGGCTGCAACAGGCACGACACGCCGCCATCGTGTACAGCGAGCAGCCGCGACAGCGCACCTTTACACTGAATGAGGTGATCACGTCAGCGCCGCCCCCGCCGCCGTGTTCTGGGCCCAGCTGCACCCAGTGCACGACGCGCGCCGCCGTCAGCAGCAGCAGGCTGCCCCCCGGGCCGAAGGCGACCGCCACCACCTGCTGCGCGGCCCAGGGCGCGTCCGCGTCCCACTGGCGCAGCACACGGCCTCGACTGTTGGCGTGGGGACATGCGGCGCAGGGGCGTGTGTGAGGCGTACACGCGCGGGGCGGCAGACACCGATCCACGACCAGCTCGTTAGTGGACTGCGGCCGATCTGCCAACCAGCCCAGTGTGCAGCAGCATGCTGCAGCTGGGCCACCTGCTGCGCTGAAATGAGCAGGAGCTGGAGCAATAGCATACACACTGCGCCGCCACTGCGGCTGCCCCCTCCCCTCCCGAACCGCGCCGGTGTCGCTCGGCCCGCGCACTCACGCGTCCAGCAGCCAGATGCAGGAGGACCGGCACGCCACCAGCAGCCTCTCCCCCACAGCGCCGCTGCCACCGCCGTCGCTGCCGCCGCCGCCCCCCTCGCCGGGCGCGGCGCCCCAGCAGACGCTCATGATTGAGTCCGGGCGCTCCCCGCCGTCCGAAGGGGAGGACGGGGGTTCAAAAACGGAGGTGACACGGCTGAAGCGGTCTTCGGCGGACAGCACCGCCACGCGGCAGCGGGACAGCTCGACCACGGCCGCGGCACGGCCACTGGGCGACACCGCCAGGTCTAGGTCTGCTGCTGTGATGCGCCACAGGGGCCCGCGGTGGGTGCGGGGCGGGGCGGTTGGTGTCAGTTGCTGGTGGCGGGCGGTCGAGATGCCGCCGGCCGCTCGAAGCCCAGAGGCTTCGCCCAGACCAGACGAGAGAATGGCTCACTGCATGTGAGCGCACAGCAGCCAGTTGCGCTGCGGCCAGATTAATCGAAGCCAGCAGCCAGCCAGTTTTGGGGCCTGACGCAACAACACCGAGCGCCCCCGCGCGCCGCACCTGTGCCTGCCCCCTCGTCGCGTATTCCAACGCAGCCCAGCGCTGCACGGCGAAGCCTGTCGACATATGAGAGCGGCGCCCCCGCCGCCGCATGCTGCGCTGCGGCAGCATTCGCAGCGGCGCCAGAGGCGCCGCCATCCCCAGCATACAAACGCTCAGCCAGGGGAACATGCTCGTAAAGAATCCGCAGCGCCGACAGCTGGTGCTGAAGCTGCATCGCCATCACGGCCAGCAATCAGCTCGCTGCTGCGTCTTGGGAGCGGCCTCGCGCGATCGAGAGCCGCAGGCTGGTGGCGCTGGTGGCGAGCCGACGCGCCCAACTGCGGGCGTGAGCCAACACCAGCAGCGCTGGGGCGCCGCCGCAAGCGCGGCGGACGGCCGTCAAGGAATGCAGATCAATACCATCATACATTGATAAGGAGTAGGTGCGGACTCATTGTGCAGCACGCAGCATCAGCCAGATCGTCTGCATGTGCACTCTCTTGTTACGAGGTATGCTGCTGACAGTGTTATGATATGTTCAGCTCGTCAAGCATTCTTGGTGGATATACAGATCGCTGGAATACACGCCACATAACTATTTACTTGCACCAAGTGCATCGCTGATTGTCAGGTCGATCACTGCAAACTCGGAGCTTGACCGTGCAGAGGCACTCATTATCTCATAGTGAGTGATCGGGCCTAGAGCGGTGGATCGCCACAAGCGCACAGCGCCATGCCGTTGCCCGCACAAGTGCCTGGGTTGCCGCATCAGCCCTAGCGCTGGTGACAAACAGCGCTGCGATCGCCTTGCACCACGCGGCGCTTGTCGCACCCGTGCAGGCTAGCATGCAGGGCGCAGGCATTCAAAACCTGCTGTCGGCGGAGGCAGAGGCCGGCAAGATCGTGGCCGAAGCGCGCAAGGTGCGGGGTGCTGTGCTCCTGTTGCCACCTGTGGGCCTCTTGCATACTCAGCAGCAAACGCATGCCTCCGCAACTACCATGCGAAATGCAATACACCAAGTAGCGCGTTCCACGCATCTGCCCTGCCCCGCTCGACCGCATGCGACCCCATCATGGCCCCCGCAGGCCAAGCAGGAGCGCCTGCGGCAGGCCAAGGCGGAGGCGGAGCGAGAGATTGCGGCTTACAGGGCTGAGCGCGAGGGCGGGTACCAGAAGAAGCTCTCAGAGGTGCGGGCCGCAGCGAAAGAAGTAAGGTCGCAGCGTTGGAGCGGGCATGGCGTTAACGCATTGCAGCAGGGGCGCCGCTCCTGTTGCAGAGCAATTGCTCGGCTACACGAGGCGTCGTTGAACAGCCATGCGCAGCAGCATGCAAACTTTCCGGTCCCTTCATAAAGGCGGGGCAGGGCTTCAAATGCAGCACAGCAGCCGACGTGGCGCAGCCCCTGTAGCGGCGCAGCCTAGCGGCCCGCATGCAAGGGTTGGTGCGCGCTGGTGCTGACACACCCTCGCGTGCCCGCGCAACGCATCCGGCCGCCCCCGTGCGCGTCGCCCCCCCGCAGACCACCAGCGGCGCCGCGGCCACGTCCGACCGGCTGCACAAGGAGACGGAGCAGGCCATCAAGCAGGTGCAGAGCGACGTGGCGGCCAGCAAGGGGAGCGTGGTGGACATGCTCGTGCGCTACGCCACCACAGTGGCATGACGGGGATGAGGCGAGAGGCGCCGGCAGTGCAGCACGCTGACGCGAGGGGCGCTGGCACTGTGAAGCGTGCCTGTCAGCTTTTCCCTGCTTGCCCACACAGTGCTGGCTGCCTCACTACTGCCTCAACGTTGTCTCTGCAGTCTTCGCATGGAATGGCACCGCATACATGGCAGTGGCAGTAATAATTTCAATCAAGCGGCTGTGGAGGATGTGCAGCTCGCCTGCACTTCTCACCACACATATTCATGGGCTTGCGCATTTCAGTGCAAGAGGGGGTAGGACTGTTCCAGGACGGTCAGGCCAGCTATGTACAGGGGTCACAGCAATCATAACACAACGCAGGGCTAATCAGCACGCCCAGCACCGTTTTGATGCGGCCTTCCATCCTTGTTGGGGGGCGCGACAAATCACAAAGTAGCAAGAGCAACTGCAGCAGCAACCCCAAGCAGCTCCGCCAGCGCAGGCCAAACAGGCAGTGGACGTCGTCCCTGTGCGCCGCTCTTTGCACCGGCGGATTCAGGGGCTTCGCCATTGGGCGCCATGGGTGCCGCGATATTATTTATAGTAGGCGCTGCGCTCGTCGCGCCCGCGGCCCCAGCGCCCTTGCAGGGCACACTGTCTGGCGAGTTGACGAGCCTGTTTCACAGCGTGAGCAACAATGTTGTTAGGCGCCAGCAGCAGCCTCGCTCCGCAACAATGTTGTTAGGCGCAGGCAGCAGCATCACGCGCAGCCATCCATGCCCTCGCACGTACACCCCCCTTGACACCCGTTCGAAGCAGCCAACCATGGCCAGGGCTCCCAGCTCACGTGCCGATCTTGACCGACGAATAAGAAGGCTCTCCCATCGGCTTGGGGCAGTGCGTAGCGTTGCCCAGCCACACCTGCAGCACCCCGCTCCCCGGGTCCAGGCGGCCGGCCTCGCAATACGCCTCCACCTCGCTGTCGCCGTTGACCCTCGCATTGACCTGGGTGCCAAGGAGGAGGGTACAGCCTGACGCAGGCACATATGTGTTCCGTGCCCCTGCTCACAACGTATCGTGTTTTTAACACCCCTAGGGATATCCAGCCAGACAAATTCGTGCTGCATGTTGCTTGACGCAATCGGCCCTCGCGGTGCCGCCGGGTCGGGTGAGTCGGTGTTGACAGGGTCGGTGCCGACAGGCTGCGCGGCCGGGGGTCCAACCCGTCCCCACCTGCACGAGTGTGCCCTTGTACTCATACGAGCCGGTGCAGGCGTGGCTGAGAAAGTGCCCTTGTATAAGCCCGAGGGCGCGTCGCCCCCTGCCGTCAACGCCCGCCGCTGGCGCGACGAAGGCCCAAGAGTAGCCGCCAGGCGCGGAGACGCCCGCGGAGGAGGGGCCCGCAAAGTAGCCGCGTAGGAAGGGCGGCGGCCCGGGGATCGCCAGGGCTGGCAACTCGTCCAGCTGGGAGGGCACGATCGGCACGTGCGACCCGTCAGACGCGCTGCCGGGCCCGCCGGCGACCTCCGCGGCCGCGGCGGTCGGCAGCGCCACGCAGCCGGTGTACACATTGGGGAGATCGATGGCGGCGCCACCTGGGAGCTCCGTGACGCGTTTCAGGGTGGAGTGGGTCTGGGTGTAGTCGGACGTCCTGTGGGGCGCGGGCTTTGGACGTCAGCAGGGACACGTACTTGTCAGTGCAGGCAACAAGGACGGTTCAATGTCACCTGTTGGTTTTTGGTTGCTGAGAACAGAAGCACCGCAGCAAACATGAGCGGAGCTGGTCAAGTAATCGAGATGTCAGTCGCAGGCGCCGCAGCGACGGGCGGGCGGCCCAACCCACCAGTCGGCAGCGGCGACAGACCCCGTTTCTCTCGCGACCGAGGCGAGGCGCGTCACGGTCTTCAGCGTGTCGTTGGCGGCTGTCGCGTTGGTGGCCAGCTGCAGGGAGGTTTGCCCAGGATAGCCTTGCGTGGGCATGAGGTCGACAGCAAAACAGGCGGGGACGAGGGGCTTGAAAATGCAGCTTGCAGGGGAACAGCTTTGTGCAATATGGTGTGTGTGCGAGGTGCCCTTGCAAGCACCGGGCTCGCGAGTTGGCTGGCCTTGCTCTCCACCTTGAGGGCGCTCCAGGGTGCCGCGTACTCCGCGCGCTCATCAGTGCCGCTGTCGATGCAGGTGCTGGTGGGCTGCAGGCAGCATGATTAGGATACAACAGCAACAGCGGCCGATCGAATCGCGGCACCGTTGTGCGGGCTGCAATATCAGCCGGGCATGCACTGCGAAGCAACGGCAGGTCGCTCTGCTTTGTAAACCTTTACTCAGATGACAACATGGCTGCCCTGTTGCTGCTGTATGTATTGTTGAGGCATACGCGCGGTGTTTGCCTGTTGGGTACTGCGACTTCAAACCGCCCAGCCAACCAACAGCTCCGCACCAGCAAGTAACCGCCGATAAGTGCCTCAACGCCTGCAGCGCCGACCTCACTGGCGAAGCTGAAGGTAGTGCCTAGCCCAATGCCAATGGATCCGTGCCCGGCCCACAAACCATCAACGTTTGGGAGGGCTGTGCTGTTGGATGACGAGGCGCCAGCCTGAGCAAGCACGAGCAGCGCAAGTACGACGGCCCCTTGCGCCAACATTCCAGCCGTCACAGCGTATTTACGTGGCTGTCAAAATGCTATGCTAAAATGTGTCGTGTCGCGAGATCTACGGCAACGGTGCATGGAAGGCAATCGGCATGGCGCCTTCGTTGCCCTGTGGCATCGTTGATATCTACATTTTGAATATGCGCCCACTATCATATGTCATTCGCCTATTACGGTACAAAATCATCGTTTGTTGCAGCTTGATGCGCACAACGTTGGGCAGTCGTGGGGCCGAGTGTAGAGCGAGTGCGGCGGCGCAGCACAAACGGGGTGGCAGCCGCAGCGCACACCTGGGCAACACGACGAATCCCGGGTGGTGGCCCCAGAAAGGCAGTCATTTCTGGCAGCCTAGAATGACCTAGCAAACAACCTCAAGCTGTGTGATCACGGCGCTGCACCCTTGACAAGCAGCACGGCACCTGTGGAAAAGATACGCCAGGCAGGGAGTGGCGGCCGGATGAGCCCTGGCAGCATTCGGCCCCCGATGGACTGTGATGCCCTGCTGCGGCTGAGCCTCTGGCAGCTGGATCCCATCAGGACGGTGCGCGGCCGGCGTCAACGGGCATCAGAGCGGTGGCGGGCCAGGCGGTCTCCGCCGCGGGCACCGCAAGGTTCCCCGCAGCCGCTGGCACAGGTCGCCCATGCAGCGGCCGCAAACCGCTCGTTCGGACCTTGAAGCCCCTCAACCGCTCTTTTTTTGCAGTTGTCTTGCGTTTGAGCACACCCCGCCGCGCATCTTCCAGGTACTGAACCAGCTGGCAGCGGCGCACGGCGGCTCCCTAGGCCCAGAGGCGCAGGCCGCCCTGGCGCGCGCGCTGCGCTCGACGCCCCTGCTGCGCGCGCTGCCGCCGGCGCCGCGCTACCTGGCGCAGCTACTGAAAGGCCTGGTGGATCAGCCAGGGTCGGGGGCGGGGGGCGGGGCCAGCGGCGGCGTCTCGGACGAGCTGGCTGAGCTGTGCACTGAGGTGCTGCTGCGGCCGCCGGTGAGGCGCCGCTGCGGCTGCTCGTGGATAGCCGCAACTGCACCAACGTGTGCCCCAGCTCTTTTGCGATCGAGGACGACTGGGGCCGCGACTGCGGCCAGCGGAGGTTTGGGTGCTCTTTGCAGGAAAATGACATGCAACACACTGCACAGCGCTAGCTGCGCACCAGCGTGACCAGGTTTAGCCATGCCTCGTAGCTGCGCCTGCTAGCTTCGCAGTGAACCATTCGCGCTCACGGCGGCCCCTGCTGCACGCCTGTGCTGTCATCATGCTCCCCAGGCCCCTTCCTCGGGCGCCGTGTGGCCCCACAAGACCTGGTATTACTCGTCCGCACCTTCGTCAGAGCAGCTGACAGTGCTTGAGGCGGCCCATGCGTCGCGCGTGACGGCTTTTCTTGCGGCTGAAGGTGGTGCGGCGCCCAATGGCGACAACCACCATCACCACAAACATCACGAGCAGCAGCAACAGTCGCAGCAGCACGAGGAGCAGCAGCAACAGAAGCATCAACATCACAATCAACAGCAGCAGCAGGAGGAGGAGCAGGAGTGGACGCAGGAAGGAGAGGCGCCGAGCGCCTCTGCAGGGCTGGTGACCCTGAGGCTGTCACAGAACATGCTGGACGGCAACACAGGTGACGGCACTGCAGCGCAGCATGATTTGGCGGGGGGGTTGACAACCAAGCTTGTGCCCAAGCATACCTGGCTGCTACTGCAGCGCATCCCCGCCAAAACATCCGCAATCTCCCAAACGCAGCAGCACACTGCCTTGATTGACCAACCCGCAAGGAGCCCGCATGAAGCGCTGGGTGCCTTGCATTCCTCCCGTAAAGCGTGTGAATCTGATCTACAACTGCATGTGCACTTTTGCCATCCGACACGCAGGGTGTCACGAGTGGGAGGCTGGTTTCTTGCTTGCTGAGTTTGTACTCAGCAACTTGCACCTGTTCAGAGGTAATGACGGGCTGGCAGGGGAGTCATCTGCCTTTTGTGAAGTGCATGCGCATCAAAGGTCTTTGCGCCAGGTGTTTATCAATCTGCGCTTGCCGCCACTGCAATGTTTAACCTCGTCCCCCTACTGCACCCGCAGGCAAGCGCTGCCTGGACGTCGGCTGCGGGTCGGGCCTGGTCGGGCTCGCGCTGTTCCGCGCCGGCGCCGCGTCGGCGACGCTCGCAGACGGCGACGCCGGCGCTCTCATGAACTGCATCCGCAACCTGGGGCTCAACGGCGTCGGGCGCTCCGCAGTGCTGGCGGGCGGCCTGCAGGAGGCCGTGGCGTGCGGGGCGCGGGTGGCCGTATGCCCCATGGTTTGGGAGGAGGTGGCGGCAGAAGAGGAGGATGAGGAGGAGCAGAGGAGGGCGATAGCGCGGCTGCCCTGGTTTGAGTTGCTGGTGGCCTCTGACGTGCTATACGACCCCAACATCGTTGCGCCCTTTGTGCGCGTACTGGCGCGCCTGCTGCGGCGGGCGCCGCCACGGCTCTTAGATGCGGACGAGGCGCGCGGCGCGCCAAGCGGCTACGGCACCAGCAGCGCGTGCTGCGCGTACGTAGCGACGACGTTCAGGCAGCCGGCGACGTTTGCGCTGTTCGAGCGGCGCGCCGCTGAGGCCGGGCTGCGGCTGGAGCGGCTGGCCACCGAGGGGCTTGGGCAGCGGGGGGCTGTCGCATTCCAAGGCGCACGCGCGCTGCAGGACCGCGGTGGGATCATCTTGCACCGTGTCACCGCTTTGGCAGGTGCTTTGCACCACGTGTAACCCCTGGGTGGGAGGTGACGCAATCGGCAGGGGCGTGCCGCAGGCAGCTGCGCATGAGGCCAAGCGGCCGCCGCAGCGTGGTCGATTTTGGGCTGGTTCACCTGAAAGACGCCGAAGAATGCAGCAAAAGAACTCAGCACAGGAAATAATGCCTAAATTTTCTTATCAAGCGCCACCTTTGCAGTCACCACGTACCGCCTCGCTTTGCTCCACAGCGATCCGTGGTCGGGCGGTGTGTCTTGACCTGCTCGCGCACCGAGGCGGTGTCTCACTCGTCTGTGATCGCGAGTGTATTGGAGTGTGTGTTTTCGGCTTGATGTTTTTTTTGAATTTTGGACGCAACAAGGCTGCCGGGTTGATGTACACAAACCGCGTGCATTGGCGTGCAGTGCAGTGCAGTGATGTGCGCGGGGCCGGGTGCCGCGCTGCCGCCAAGTGGCTATACCGTACCATGGGCGCAGCTCACGGGTGAGGGTACACTGCTGCGGTTATGTGGATACTGCGAATGTTTCGTGTGCGCTTGCGACACTTCAGCACCGTACCAGGCCTTACTACAGTAGGGGGTTGGGGGCCAAGGTCGTTGCGATTTTTCGAGTTCGGCGACCTTATGACACCCTGTCTGTACGTAAGTGATACAATCATCTTGTAAGATAGCAGAATTAGAAGTGGTTTCGCCGCAATGGGGGCGTTCCGGGCCTCCCCGCCCAACGGGGTGGGCAGTGCGAATGGTGGCAGCCCCTTATTGCGTCCAGGGATGCTGGCCGTGGTAGCCATCTTACTGCTTGGAGCTGTGCTAGCGTTCTCTGGCAACAGCAGCAGTGCTGGCTGCACCGGGCCGCGCTGCGGGGTGCAGCTGCTCGGCGCAGAGGGCGCAGCCACGGGTGCCGGCGCCGTGGCTGCAGCCACGTGGGACCGCACTGTGGCGGCGTTGCCCAAGGCTGTCACCGCCGCCGAGAACTCCAGCAAGTATGTGCGGCGCCACATCGCGCCCGACGTCATCTCGCCGCTCGCGGCGACGCTCAAGGCGAACGGCGTCACCGCCGTCGCCATTGTCGGCTGCAAGGCGAGCGCGCCCGTTGCCGCCAAGTTCAAGGAAGCCCGCGTGGCTCACCAGTGCGTCGACACGCTGGACAGCGCCCAGTCCTTCGTCCACGCACACGGTACAGCGCCGGCCGCGGTAGTGCGCGTGAAGGTCAAGGCCCGGCCTGAGGGCGCCGCGCCGGAGCTGCTCTTCGGCCACCTGCTCGGCGGCCTCTCTGCGCCCGTGACGGCAGAGGTCCTGGTCGCGAGCGACGAGGGCCGACTGCCCGTGCGCGCCGCGCTGGCGCACCCGCCCAGCTGGACGCGGTCGGCGGGCATGCGGGAGCTGTGGTTTGTGCAAACGAGCGTCTTCCTGGACACGTTCAACAAGATCTACCGGGAGAGGATCTGGAGCAACGCGGGCGGCGGCAGCGGCGAGGGGTCGTCGCTGGAGTACACGGGTGAGCGGCGCGCGGCACACACTCTTCGCGGGGCAGGGGGGCGCCCCAGCGTGGCAAGCAGGCCCAGCGCTGCGAGCAGGCCCAGCGTGGTGTAGGAACGCCCCGCGTTTGACTGTCGTTGACCGTCGCAGCCAGCCAGTAAGGCATGCAACACCAGCGCGCCTGCAGCACCCGACACTGATCAGCCACTTGTTACTGTGAAATGCTGGGTTGCTGCCAGCTCCTCCCACCCCATCCCACCTCGGGCGACTGCTTGCTAACCCCGTTGACCAACCCCCTCTCTCGTGCCCCTCTGCTGTATGCTGCCGCGTCGTTGCAACTGCAGCTGCGGTCCAGCAGGCCCTCCCTAAGCTGATCAAGAAGTACGACATCAACTCCATGCTGGACTCGTCCTGCGGCAGCATGCACTGGATGCCCCGGGTGCTGGCGGAGGTCGAGGAGGACAAGCCGCGCTTCAAGTTTTACGGCAGCGACGTGGTCTGCGACCTCACGGCGCAGCACACGAAGAACTTCACCATGAAGGGCCACCGCAACTGGCGGTTTGGGTGCCACGACTATGGTGGGCGGGCGGGGCGCTCGATTCATACCCAAAACGCGCGTTTGCAAGCGGGTGGCTGACAGCCGGTCAAAGTTGCTGCAGGTGGGCAGGCAGCGCGCCTGGCAAGCCGTGGCTGTCACGCTCAGGCGCCCTCCTGGCTCACGGCCCGCCGCCCGCACCGCCCGCCGCTGGGCCCCCTCACACGTCCGCGCTGCCGCCATCCGCAACCCCCGCAGCGAACCAGCCGCTGCCGAAGGGCTACGACTTGGTGTGGAGCCGCGACAGCCTGCAGCACGTGACCCTGAACGCCGCTTTCCAGTTCCTCAACAACGTGAGGGCCACCGGTGCCAAGTACCTGCTGGTGGGCACCTACCTCGAGAACAAGATCAACCTCAACATCACGGCGGGTGAGCACCGAGGAGAAGTGCAAGATTGGGGTATGTATGGTCCAACGCGGGCAGCACAGCTTGCTGAGCTTGCATGCAAGCTCTCGCCTGCTCTCCGTCTGTCTCCGGCGAGAGCCCACGCAAACACACACGCGCGAGCGCACGCCGCACACATACACGTACATGCACACACAACACGCTCACCTCTTGCGTGCGCCGGCGCCCTGCCCAGGCGAATACTACCCGATCAACCTGCTGCAGCCGCCCTTCAACGTGCGCACCAAGCCCCTGGAGATCATCGACGAGCGCAGCGAGGTCGTCGAGAAGCCCACGGCGGACAAGAAGTTCATGCTGCTGTTTGACATGTCACAGCTCGAATGGGATGACGACCTCGCGTGGGTGGAGTGATCGCGCGCAAAGCGCCACGTGCCAACGCCGGCCGCAGCGGCGAGTCTGCCAAGGAGGGCGGCAGCGGGGCGCAGTACGCACGTGGGGTTTGCGAGCCGCGCGCCCCTGCGCCACCGGCTTTGGGCGGAGCCGCAGCTAGCAGATGTCGAATGAGAGGTTTGATGCAACTGCTTTGGCTCATGTACTGTCACCCTTGAATTGTCATTATGAGCATCGGTACTGCACACCAGTACTGCCCACATACATGGTGACCTCATGTTTATACAACAAAAACTGCTCGCACAAGAACAGCAGCACTTGGTAGCGACGCTTGCCAACGTGCACACGCATACCCTTGTAACCATCCAAAATCCTGAGCCCAGGGGGTGTCAGCGGACAGGGCACAGGCAGCTGGGCAAACCAGCCAGCCATGCCGCCTGAGCAGGTACTGCGGTGTCCAGCAGGAGGATGCAGAGTTGCAGGAGGCTCGAGTGTGCACTACCATCAGATGCTGCAGCTCAGCTGCACGAGACATGCGGCCTGAGGACTGCTGGTAATGCAGGATAGCAAGCCTAGGCGCCCAGGTCGCCAAGGAACGGGCCACTGGAATGGACACTGTGCTGGCGAGTCAGGGGTGACCGGAGTGATGGCGTTCCAGTACTGCAGTCCCTGCTTCACACAGCATTGTGCTTCACCCTATCATGGCCCATACCAGTACATGAACCCAACCAGGCGGTTGAATACATTGATCATCGTGTTCCAGTTGGTGTCCAGATCAAATGCTTTCTTTTCAGCGTGCTGTATGAACACAGCTACTCAGCTTATCAGTCCAAAAACAATGATGTGTGTGTGACGGCAAAATCATGGCTGGTTTCGGGCAGCAGGGCGGGTTCGGGGCCTTTGGAGGTGGACAGGCCCCTGCCTTCGGCACAGGGGGTGGCGGAGGCTTCGGAACTTTCGGTCCTGGCGGCCAGGTGCGTGGAAATGGCTCGCAGCGGTGCAGGCGTAGCACCGATCGCCGCAACAGCACAACAACAAGCGCGTGCTGCTCGATGTATCCCGTCCGCGCAGGGGCGGGGATCACAGCCGGCAGGTTTTGGGCAAGGCGGCGTCGTGTTTGGCAAATCGGCTGCGGCCGCAGGCGGCCAGGGCGCGCAGGCCGGCAGGGGCCAGCCTGGCCCAGGTGCCGGCCGCGGGCCTCGGCAGCAAGGCACCGACGGCGCTCGCGGACGCGGGCGCGGCGGCCGCAACCAGCAGCCGCGGCAGCTGCAGCAGCAAGACCCGTCGGGCGCGCAGGATGGCGGCTTTGGCGGGCGGCAGGGCGCGAGAGGTGCGGCCATTGAGGGGGGGTGTCGGGCATGGCAACCTGTGCGGCACGTTCGTGCCCCCTTGCTGGCTGTCCTTGGTTGGGCGTACCGAAGGCAGCGTGGTATTGATGCAAGTCGTGCTGCAATGCTGCCGCGCTTGTTTGCAAACGCAGTACTGGTTTACGACTCCTGCTATTTTTCCTTTGGTTTTTTCCGCACGCCTGGGCAGGTGCACGCGGCGGCGCCGGCGGCCGTGCTGCCAACAGGGCAGGCGGCCGCGCCCCGCAGGGCCGCGGCGCCGGCGGGCGTCAGCAGCAGCAAGGGGGCCGCGTGTGGCGCCGCGACCAGCAGCAGCAGGAGCAGCAGGGCGCAGCGGCCCCGTTCGGCCTCCCGCCCGGCAGCCGGCTCGCGGGGCGCCTCGGGCTGCCGCTCGTCGGCGGCGGCGCGGCCGGCCGGCCGCGC